AATATTATGTAATATTATAATTATTTTATTTTGCATTTCACTTGTGCTAAAGAATATACGCGAAGATGCCAGCAGGATGCGGCTTTTGACTGTTCGCCATTCTTTAACATCCCATGGAGCCATCATTGCAACAGATAAAGAAGCTACAAAGGACCTCAAAGGTGTTTGGTATATGTACTCTTCGCCTTACATTTCATATTTATTGCGAAACATAACATCACCATGGATAAGAGGTAGTCATTTTCAAGCACTTCCTTATACGACTGCAGTGGCGGTCACATTTCTTTCGTTACATTTCTTTCAAGTGGGAAGTAGGTGAAATGTATTTTAATTTATAAATTAAGTCTTAAATTTGGTTTTCTTCGAACATATCTTAATCTAACACCATATTTTTTTCTGTAAAAAAAGAGAAAAAGAAAGAGGTGGTCGTTTTCAAATCATTCGAGAGGAGAATTAAGCCTTCTTCACAATTCCTTCCCATGTGGCCCAAATATAGGTTGGGGTTGTAAAAGGTATTGGGGGAGATAACACAATGAACTTCAGAATCGGCCCATTTACCCATGAGCACGAGATAGTTAGCCTTTACTCATAAAATCATGAATCTAACTCATCTACGCTACTTCAGCCTATTTCACACAAGGGTACCGATGAGTTGAGCTGTTTGCGAGCGCCGGAACTTGTTTAGGTGAATGATTTGAACCTTGGGCTTTGGACTTCATATGCAAAAACTCCTAAACTTATAATCTCATACTCTAAATATCTTATTATTCGAAAGACCATTTATAGTAGAAATTCGACTTATTTCTTTTTTATTTTTTAAAATTTTAATTTTATAATTAAAGATAATTTTTTTCTCATTTTTTATTACCCACCTTTTAATATTTAGACTTAAATAAAAGATATTTTACTTTATTCTAAAGTTAGGGCGAAATCAAAATATAATTTTTACAACATGTTTAGTTTGAAAATAAATAAATAAATAAATTTTTTAATTAATAACATTATAATATTTTTAATTTAATTAATTAAAAACTTGCACTCCACTTTCTCCTAACCGTACCCTTTGACACTTGCGTAGGAAAATTGGCATCCGTTGCCACTTTTTCGCTCCACCTATGGAAACTTCAAGCTTTTTATGTTTATAAATGGGCTCACATGTTCAAAATAAATAAATATATGGGCTCCATCTAATAAATCGCATTTAAAGAGAAACAATGGCCCAAAAAGAATCGAAATTTTCTCTGATTAGACGATCTACGACTACAAATCCAACAACCCAAATCCAACGGCTAATAACACACCAAGGAACCACCGTGAACCCCCTCCATAGTGAGCAGCACTGTTCTCACTAGCGTCCGTCTCCCCAGCGGAGGCGGTGGTCGTACCGTTGGAATTGATTTTTCTGCCGTACAATTCCTGGATCCCGCGTATATCGTCGTTCGCCAATTCGACTTTTCTGACACCGGAAGAAATGGTGGGGTACATGATGGATCCTTTCACCGATGAATGTCCCAACCCCAACAAATGCCCAATCTCATGTACCGCCACGGACTCCAGGTCGAAGGCTGAAGACTGCGCCAACGTGCTGCCATTATCAGTCACCAACCAGTTTTCGGCGGCGTCCAAGTGGAACCGTCCAGCTGGTGGAGCAAACGCGTGGGCGAGAGTCCCCAAAGCCCCATCAAACGGTTGGCCGTCACCGTGATCTCCCTCGAAAAACCCAATTCTGATATCGGCCGATACTAAGGAATCCACCAGAGTGAACGTCAAGGGCGTCACCGCCGCCCATCTATTGAAGGCCCGTGAGAACACGCTCTTAACGTCGTCGGTCAAATTATCAAAAAACGCGTACGTTAGGTCGCGCTCGCCGTCGGGCCAACGGGGGGTCCCAGGGAAGAAAGAGTAATGAGCCGTGGTATGTAAACGCGCCGACGACATTTTACCGGAATTCATGGAGGTCGTTCCGTTGACTATATCGGCGTTCCCGCATCTGGGCCGCATTATCTGCTGAAGCGTCTGGTCGTCGAGCTGACCGGTGACGCTGAGATTGAAGTTTTTCTGGTACGTTCTGAGGGCGGCCTCGAGGGCATTATCGAAATCGTCGGTGCAGTTGGCACCGACGTCTGGGATGTAACCGAACCGGCCGAAGTACTTCTTGAGCTTGGACAACCCATTAACTTTTTGTCCAGAATGGCAGCCGGTGAAATTGTGGAAAACGTCCCAAGCCCCAGCGGTGGCCTTTGGGAGCGACCGAGGAATGGATGTGATACTGGGAAAGAAACTAGCTGAAACTGGAGAGAAAGAAAGTGACATCAAAACCGCAATTGAGAGTAGATCAAGCTTCATTCTCCCCTGTTTTGCTCTGTTTTCGTTCTGAAGAAATTAATGGAAATGAACCTATGAAATATGGAAACTTTAATGAAACATGGGTGCTTTCTATGGTTGAGGAGGATCAAGAACGGCGGCGGGCGGTTGTTTTCGCCGTCGAGAAGAGAACTTCCGGTGTGAATTGTGAATTTGTTCGAGATATTTAGTGAATGTTGATTGTGGATATGAATTGTTGATTAGGAACGGCAGCGTTTAGTGGCGGCTGAGTGATGTTGCATGACAGCAGTCAAAGTTTGGGGGTTGGACCCTGGGAGACTTTGGTCGTTGATGTTTGGCAGAACTTCTACATAACATTGTCACTCAGAAAAATAAGAGGTTAGCAGTAAATTTTTTTTAATTGAAGTAAAATATTTAAAGTTTGAATTGTATAGTTAATAATTTAAGATTTAATTTGATAATATTATTTGGTATTGTTTTGTAATTGTAATTTTTTAAAATGTTGTATTATATTGTTACAAAAAGTATTTTAATATTTAGTAATTATATTTTTTAAAAATTATTTATTATAAAATTACTCAATTATATATTATTTAAAATT